CCCCCCCACCCCCAAAACCAAAATTTTATTGCAGATTCGGGGTCCTCTTGCCGAGCGCAGAACGACCCCGGTTTCAAAAAAAAAATAAAAAAAATCTGGGTGTTTTTTTGGCCCGCCCGGTTTACCCGGGCGGCCACCCGGGGCCCAACCGGCCGGGCCAGGCCGGGCGGCGTCCTCACTCAGATTTTAACGGATTTCCTGAAGGATTTTTTCTTTCTTAAATAATTGTACCATTTTCTCGATTCATGCATGTCATCCTTGTGAAGGGGCCATGCCGATCTTCTCTGTACGGTTCCAATTTCAACGGATGCCCGGAAGGACATATCTGGGTACCAACAAAGATATCCACAAAGTTATTGCAGTGGGCTGAGGTCGCTGATCGTGGACTGACCCTGCAGTGGAGAATATGGCGCAGAAGTGGGCAAAAATATGCCATGGAGACCGATGTTCTGGCGTATGCCGTACGGAGTGTAAATCAGACACGGAGGGAACCACTGAGAGAGGGGGTCATACTCACACCAGAGGACGTTTTCTACTAAGCTTGCGGTCACATTCATCCACGGCTGGCTGTAATTGTGGTCAGATGCATTTAGGAAAGTGCCAGTGTGAGTATGCGGCGAGATGCGCATCATTTACCTCATTAGCGGAAAGGGGAGGGTATGGTAGTAAACGGCGGAGAGGGAGAGAAGTTGGATCAGCTACCTGGCAGCTGTGGAGGGGGTTTCGATAGCTGGTGAGTCTGGAGGGGGGTTTGATACGAGAGTCGCTGGCGAGTCTGTTCTTCTGCAACTGGATCTCCAGCCCGGGGGTGCCGGGCGGGCAACGCAAGTGAGTTATTGTCATCCCTCCCGAACATAAAGTGGCATCGCTCTAGCGGAGGCACTGGCTAAAAAATAAACTCGACCCCAACATTAGTGACCACGTGATGTCAGCAATTGGGGCTTCGACTAATTACGGCATCAATCTTGCCCTCCGCCAATTCAGTTGAAGTCCTGTGGATGAGCATTTGTCAGCCTGTTAGACATTGGGAGGCTCTGCACAAACTGTCACCATCAGATCAAAATCCTCGCTGACCAGTCATTGATGACCCCATTAAGGACACCATTAATATTGCTGAGTCTGTGCTGACTCTGACCTTCTTGAGAAGGCAGGTTTCAATTTGTTCATGCTGTGGTGCTTTGTTCAGGGCCTCTAGTTCGTATAGCCTGTGTCTGGCAATGGGGTAGGAAATAAAGTTGGCCTGGTAGTTAGTTGGGTGCGGTTTGGACATGAACCGGTAGGCTCTTGTTGGTGGGGTCGGTGTGGTGAGTAGTCCCCAGTCGCTTGGTTTCCACGTGTGTCTCTTTTAGGAGGGCCATCCATGAGGGGGGGATGCTGTGATAAATTTCCGATAGGTTGGTGGCATAGTTGCGGCGCACCAGTGCGCAGTGCGGGGCGGGGCGGTGCGCACTGTGCCTGTCTCTTATACACATCTAGATGTGTATAAGAGACAGGGTCATAACAATCAGGAAAAAATCAGAATTTTTTCAGAAAATTGAAAATTCTTCAAAAAACTTCAAAAAACTTCAAAAAAAAAAAAAAAAAAGCAGAAAAAATATCAGAAAAATTAAATGAAATTTAGATAAATTCAGACGTTTCCACATTTCATTGGAGGGCGTGGTTCATTGCTTGACCAGATTCCGCTTTTAAAGGGCAGGTTCTGATCATCACACAAGAACTTTCTTGACTGATCTCCGGCAAGCAAATACACAATCAGGATTCTATTTATTGCCTGAAAAGGTAGCCTTGCTGCTGCACGCAGGCATGGCCCAAGCCATTCTCCTCTGCAACAGGGGACACTTATCATATGATATGATTTATCTATTTATTAATATAAATATTAAATTCGCAATCACATTTACGAGACAAACCTGTAGGGTGTATCGCAAACTCTGAGTTTGAAGTGTGAACCCTGCTGTAGGATTTTTCATGTTCTACGCTCGAATGAATCTTGCACATGTTTGTTGTCAAGTGCTTATTAAAATTGTTGTCGTGATTCGATTACTTGTCCTTATTCTTCCTCTTACCCTCGAGCCCTCGACCTCTGGATTGATGGTTTGAAGTTTGAACCCTGGATCATTGAAGGCGTGAGGTTGGAATGGATTCATGATAACCACTATTGTTCTGTGGTTAATCGTTTCATGCCCTGGTTGGATGCAAACACCAACGAATAACACTGTAGGCTTCCATGTGATGACAGTATTTTTCTAAATTTTTAATTTTTTTCTCTTCCTTCTTTTTTTTTTTTTCGGAATAATTGTCAACAAGATCGCTCAGAAGTAGTTTTCATTCATCATCGCGATTCATCGGTATGACGAGATTATGTTTGTCGTGTAAATGTGCAGTATCGCTCCGAGAGCGAGCTTCAGGAGGAGTGTCCTGGGCGAGATGCAGATGCACATTGAGAGTATTGGGAAGCACAGACACCTGAAGAGAGTCGACTTCTTGGGTGGTCTCTGAGGTCAGTTTCCTCGTCCTCTGCTCAACCTGTATTCTGGATTGCTGCTTTCTCCTTGATGGAAATATGCACACACACACACACACACGCACACACACAC